TCTTTTCTTTTTTTTTTTTTTTTTCTGAGACTAAGTCTCTCTCTGTTGCCCAGGTTGGAGTGCAGTGGCATGATCTTGGCTCATTGCAACCTCCACCTCCTGGGTTCAAGTGGTTCTCGTGCCTCAGCCTCCCAAGTAGCTGGGACTACAGGCATCTACCACCACACCCTAATTTTTGTATTTTTTTTTTTCTAATTTTTGTATTTTTAGTAGAGACAGGGTTTCACCATGTTGGCCAGGTTGGTCTCAAACTCCTGACCTCGAGTAATCCACTCACCTTGACCTCCCAAAAGTGTTGGGATTACAGGCATGAGCCACGGCGCCTGGCCAGAAGCTCCAGATTTCTGTCATCAAATATATCACATTTTATCAACCCTGAGACACATCTTTTCTTACAATGCAGTCTCTCTGGAATCAGTATCATTTAATATGTCATAGTTAAATTACTTTTTTTATTGAGGTAAAATTTATATAACATAAAATTCATCATTTTAGCCATTTAAAATCGTACAATTCATGACTTTTGGTACATTCACAATATTGTGTAACTACCATCACTGCCTAATTCCAGAACAGGAAATTCTGTACCAGTTAAGTAGTCACTCCCCATCCCCTGTCCTCCCAGCCCCTGACAACCATTAATCTGCTTTTTGGCTGTTTCGATTTGCCTATTCTGGACATTTCATATAAATTAATTAATACAATATGTGGTCTTTTGTTACTGGCTTCTTTCACTTGGAATAAGGTTTTCAAAGTCCACCCATGTTGTAGCATCAGTCAGTCAGTCAGTCCTTCATTCCTTTAACGGCTGAATAATATTCTGTTGTACATTATTCAGCCCTAACGATGGTTGTATAATGCATTCGAACATTACACCACATTTCATTTATTCATTCAATTGATGCACATTCAGATTGCTTTCACATTCTGGCTGTAAAGAATAATGCTGTTTGAATATTCATGTACAGACAGTGCCTGACATATGATGGCTTAACTTATGATTTTTCAACTTTATAGTGGTGCAAAAATGATGTGCATTCAGTAGAAACCATACTTCAAGTACCCATATGACCATTCTGCTTTTTACTTTCAGTACAATAGTCAATAAATTACATGAGATATTCAATACTTTATTATAAAATAGGCTTTGTCTTAGACCAGGGGTGTCCACTCTTTTGGCTTCCCTGGGCCACACTGGAAGAAGAAGAATTGTCTTGGGCCACATATAAATTACAGTAACACTAATGATAGCTGATGAGCTAAAAATAAATCACCAAAAAGTCTCATAATGTTTTAACAAAGTTGACAAGTTTGTGTTGAGCTGCATTCAAAGCTGTTCCTGGGCTTTAGCAGCCCACAGGCCATGGGTTGGACAAGCTTGTGTTAGACGATTTTGCCCAAAAGTAGACTAATATAAGTGTTCTGAGCATGTTTAAGTTACATTAGGTTACACTATAATGTTTGGTAGGTTAGGTGTATTAAATGCATTTTCAACTTGTGATATTTTCAACTTACAGTGGGTCTATCATCAGGATGTAACCCCATCATAAGTTGAGGAGCACGTGTACAGAGTTTTTTTTGACTATGCATGTTTCTGTTAAGTTACACTAAGGAGTGAAATTTCTGGGTCATATGGTTGCTTTTTGTTTGACGTTTTGAGGACCTGTCGAAGTATTTTTCAGAGTGGCTGTACTATGTACATTTCCAACAGTGATGAACCAGGGTTCCAATATTTCCACATCCTCAATGCTTATTATGTTTTCATTCTTCCCAGCCTAGTAGGTGTGAACCACATTTTCTTTATGCATTCCCCAGCACTTGATGGACATTTGGGTTGTTCCCACCTTTTTACTATTATAAACAATGCTACAAATACCGTGAACAACTGTGTACAACACAGGTGTGTGTTCAGACATTTTGTTTGAATGTATGTTCTTCAATCTCTTGGGTATATAACTAAGAATGGAATGGCTGGGTCATATGGTAATTCTGTGTTTATTTTTTGAGGAACTGCAAAACTGGTTTTTACAGTGGCTGCATCATTTTACATCTCTACCAGCAGTGGGATTCCTGCAGACTCTCATCAACAGGCAATGAAAAGTGATAAGCACATTTTCTTTGACTCTCATTTCATTTTGCCTCTTTTATTTGGAAATTTAAATAATAGAAATGGACAGAGGAGAGTAGGCATTTTTGTATTTACCACCCAGAAGTGAACAACATTAATGCTTTGTTTAGGCTTCAGATATTTTTAAGTAAATAGAACATAACAGATTAAAAAACCTAAGCCCCCTTTTCCCCTTTACCCCACCTATTACGTGGCCCCCTCTCCAGAGATAATCATTATCACAACTTGGTATCTATCCTTCTAGACTATATCTTATTAGTATTACAAATATTACAAATACATGTCTCAACATGTTCTTTAAACTGTAAGTATGTGCTATCGTACTGTTTTCATCCTGCAACTTGCCTTTTTTCTAAGAAGAGCTTTCTTGAGATATATAACTGGCACACAATAAACTGCACATATTTAATGCATAGTCGGATGAGTTTGGACATATGCCTATAGTAAACTGCACATATTTAATGCATAGTCGGATGAGTTTGGACATACGCCTACATCCATGAATCCATCACCACAGTCAAGTTAACAGACATAACTGTAAGCTCCAAAGTTTCCTTGTGTCCCTTTATTTTGGGATATGTGTATGGATGGTGAAAACATTTAACACAAACTGCCATCTTTAATAAATTTTAAAGTGTGTACTACAGCACTGTTGACTGTATATTAATATGATATAATAATATGATGCTAAATAATATGATGCTAAATAAATTTATTCTATTTAGCATCTCTTCAACTAATTCATTTTGCATCACTGAAACTTTATACCAATTAAACAACTTCCTCTCCCCTGAAACATGTGTTTTAAAATAAATAGTTTTTTTTTTTTGAAGTCTCTCCAGTGATGTGCTAGTAGATGTTTAACAACCAGCTCCTGTGGAGAGGGGATGATTTGTGGCTTTTGCTAATTTCCATGTTGTAAATACTCCTAACATGGCTTATACCAAGCTATAGATGTAACATCAACCAGCTCACAAAACTGAAATGTTAGCATTTAGTTCTCATGAGCTAGCTCCAGTGTGCCACTAAATCCGTCCCTATTGATGTTGAGATCTGAGTTTTTCTTTTTATTTTTTAAATCCTTAAGACTGTATCACAGTGTTTTTATCCATCACCCTATTGATGGACGTCTAGGGTATGTCTAGGCCTTCACTGTTACAAAATGGTGCTACAGTAAACATTCTTCTGCATAGCCCTTGTGTGCAGAAGGTATGTTTACTAGATGTGGAAACGCTGTTCTCTGAAGTAGTTGCCCAGTTCACCCACTTCACAAGCAGTATGTGAGAGATCCCATTTCCCCACAACCTTGGCAATACTTGGTCTTGTCAGACTTGCTTTTGCCCATCTAAAGGTTATAATTCCATTTGTTTGTTTATTTATTATAATTCTATTTATTTATTTATTTTTTATTTTTTATTTTTTTGAGACAGTCTCTCACTCTGTCGCCCAGGCTGGAATGCAGTGGTGTGATCTCGGCTCACTGCAGGCTCCACCTCACAAGTTCATGCCATTCTCCTGCCTCAGCTTGCTGAGTAGCTGAGACAACAGGCACCCGCCACCACTTCCAGCTACTTTTTTTGTATTTTTAGTAGAGACAGGGTTTCACCGTGTTAGCCAGGATGGTCTCGATCTCTTGACCTCGTGATCCACCTGCCTCGGCCTCCCAAAGTGCTGGGATTACAGGCATGAGCCACTAAGCCTGGCCAATTCCATTGATTTTTTAACATAGTTGTCCCTCACCGTGAGATCCAGTAACTATTCATAATTACCTATATGTTTATAATTTCATTTTCCCCCATTTAATTCCAGTATTTATCTGTCTCTAGTTGATTGTAATGAATACAAGAGGCTGTTGTGGAGTATCAATGCCAGACCCCAAATAAGGACAACATGGCTACGTAGCTTCTCTCTGAATTTAAGAGAAATGTATAGCTTTAATTTGGGAATTTAGAAATAGAAGCTAAGGTGTGTGTAAGACTATATTGGTTATTACAGCCTTTACCTGCAAGCAACAAAGAACCACAGTAACCGTGACTTAAACAAGTGTGATGGGTGTTTATTTCAAGCAATAAGAAGTCAGAAGCTAGTAAAGGAGGCAGTGGTGCCATCCTGGACCCAGGCTCCTGCCATCCTTCTCTGCCACCCTTAGCTGTAGGCTGTAATTCTCATGCTCCTCATCTCACGGTTGCAAGATGGCTGCCACAGCTCTAGGCTTCCACTCAAGGCGGAAGGAGCAGTGCTTGAGTAGAAACACAACAGCGTTCACATAAATACCTAGAAGCCTTTTGTCAGCATCACTAACCAGACCTGTGTCACAGGCCACCCGATGTATTAGGCAAGTATTTAATGGGATATATTTTCTCTCATCCTCTGAACAAAATTGTATTCTGTTAGGATGGGAAACAGGAAGACGGAAATTATCTGCAACAAGAGTTATTTGGAATGCGGTTTTTCACAGTAGCATCAAATTGAGTGAATACTGGGAAATTATTCAGAGATATATACCATCCAAACCAAGAACAACCACCACAGAACACACAGTCGCCACATTCCATTGCTTTATAGGCTGCTGTTTTGTTATTTTACATTATCTATTAGATATCTAAATTTCACTTCTCTTTGTTCCTTTTTGCCAATTCAAAAAGAATTTAAAGTGTTAGAATGGACAAATACTAATGAGGCACATGTTATCTAATGATGAGTTTTCAGGCATTCCTTGTGCCATGAACATGAAGAAAACAGAATCATTATAGGCTCTAGGGTGCAGTAGAGATGCACATGGGACTAAAACAACTTGCATTTGTCATTTACTGTTTTGTTTGTAGGACAAGTCTCTTTTAATGTCTCATATTATTGACATAACTCATGAATGCTTTTTTCCAGAGTTGATGACACTTAACAATATGTGCAGGCAGGACTGAAAAAAGGTGTGGTGCCTTCCAGCCCACAAATCAAAGGTGAGTCATGAGAATGCTGTCCGTTAAACAGGAAGGAGGAGAACTGGATATGGAAGTAGGACATGCATTAGATTCCACAGCAATTAAGCTTTTCTATAAAAGCAGCAGCTGCTTTTGGAACTTGAAAGTAAAATAAAAGAGGAGCATTTAAAGGAGTTCTTGAAGAAGGCACACCAAGGTACTTGACTAATTGTAGTTAGCTAATGAATACCTCCTGTAATAAAACCTGAACTGTGGAAGGGAATCGTTGATCAACTTCCTAGGAACACCCTGTCACTGTACTGTACCTGCTGAGTATCAGCATTCGGACACAAAGACAGTGGGTGTGCAGGTGTGTGTCCGTGTCATTTGGTTATATTCATTTACTGCAGTTTCCATTTTATACATTATTCTAGTATAGGTCAGAGAAGCAAAGAGTCATCTACTATCAGGGGCTTGTTTTACATTTTACATGCCCAGTGGAAGGATTTCCCTTCTAACTTTGCTAGATTCTAAGCCTGAAATGAGAGGAAAAAAACACTTGAACTATCGTTTAAGTTCCATATCCAAGTCTGATCTATTCCATAGGAGTTTTTAAAAAGAAGGCAATGTAACTCTATATCCTGAAGCAGCATGGCAGCAAATCAAGGAACACAACTTAAATCTACTGACCCTCTTTTTCCCACTGCTCTCTACCTTGTAGGTTAACAGAGAAACTTTGATGGGATGTTCAACTTCAGTAATTTTGACTCCATTTATTAGGAAATAATATTTTCCTTACAATATATAACTGAAGTATTTTCTCCATTGTGATTTTCCTTATGTCTGAGGACACAGAGATCCTTGGAAGTCAGGCAGAGATGAGTTCAAATCCTGACACTGCCACTTAGTAGTTGTGCAACCCTGACTGTATTACTCAGCCTTGGCAAATCTCCATATCTTAACCTGAAAATGGGGATAATACTTTATGTGTTTTGCAGAGTTTGTGGTGAACATTGAGATTAGGTAAAGTGCCTAGCACCATGCCTGGAATTACTGAGTGCTTAAATGCAAACTGCAGATTAGTAGGATTTGATCTGTGACTTAACTTCATATACTTTTTTAGGAAAGCATGTATTTTGTCACATAAGACAAGTACTTGATTATTAACAAGAATGGTCTTCCTCAACATTGTGGAAGCAGTGCACACCTCAACAACTGTGCACTGCCTTCACGTTTGTGCACATGTACTTATGGAAGGGAGCTAGACACTCTCACCTTCATCAAGTTGCTGTGCAGGTGAAATGATAGTTAGAATTTCATACCTGACACACGGGGGGCTTAGCAGATGTTAGCTCCCTTCCATTGTGTCCCCTACTTTCCGAATCACTCAGTACTTCCATAAGTGTATCTTTTCTCTTAGAAGGGCCATCGAGAGGTGGGGGCAGGGAATGATTCTGGGGCCAGGGATCTTCCTCCAGGGCCCTTGAAGTTAGACTCTTACCTTGTTTTGGATGATCACTAAGCTATTTGGATTAACACAGCTAAGAGATACAATGGCTCTCTCCATTTCACAGATTAGCAGGACCAGAAAATCAATATGAAGAAAGCATTTACTGAGTGTCATCACCAAGACGGCAAAATAGAAGGCAACCTGCTCATATCCCCCAACTACAATATGGGTACAAGAATTTTTGTACCCATCTCCAGTCGAAAGTCCGTCAGTGGGAGCCTCAGGATTCAGGTAGGAGTTTGTGAAACCCTGAGAGGGCCCAAGACCTAGGAGGGTTGTTTTGAAAGTACAGACCAACACCCAGGTCAGCTGATCTGGTGAGCTTGCTTCCAGGTTCATGCCTGGAAATGGCCAAGAAACTTTCTGCATGGATAGGATCATTCCCCAACTACAGAAGGAGGGGCAAGAACTGAGACTGGGACCTCTTGGGATCTGCTGTTGGCTACAGCCCTGTTTGGCCTTGAGCTTGCAACCAAAACTATCTGCCAAGGAGTCTAGAAGGAATTGTGCATACTAGTGCCTTGGCAGAAAGACTCATTTGCCCACTGACATCAGTCTCAGCAGTGAACCTGGAAGTGGCCCTGTGGCTCTGCTCCAGCCTTTCTCAGCTGATATCTCAGTTCAGAGGTGCTCATGTAAGGACCCAGAAGGAGACTTGCCCATATCCCACAACCCAAAAGTCTGACTGTCCCCAACACACTTGCCAACCTCTATCTCATAGCACATCCCAAGTAGACTCAGTCTCAGCTGCACCCTGCCCTCTGCAGCAACCAGGGAACTATCCTATTTGTGCTGAGACCTGCTGCGAGATGTGTGCTTGTCTGGCCCAACAAGATGGGCTCTTTGGCAGATCCCAAGGAGACCCAGACTCAGTTCCAGCCCCTCCTACTGTAGACAAGAAACTATCTTATTTGTGAGACACTTGCTGGATGATATAAACTCCTTTGAGCTGAGACTGGGCTCTGCAGTCTCTCACAGCAGATTCCACGGGGCCCAGTCTCAGCTCTAGCCCCTGCTGCTACAGTCTAGGAACTACCCAACTCATACCAGCTGGGTGATGCATGTTCATCTGAGACAATGAGATTAGGCCCACCAGCTGCTTCTCACAGCAGTTCCTGAAGTGGTCCAGTCTCAACTCCATCTCCTCTTGCTGCAGTTGAGAATTGCAGAGATCTGGTAGGAGACACACCTGTCTGGGCCACAAGGACAGTTTTCTGGACTTGGGTCCCTCAGTCCAGTATCTGCCTGGGGTCTTCCCTAAGTCCATCTGGGCTGGAAAGCCATGTCAACCTCAGAGTCCTCATGAAACTCATGGCTAGCCTGGGCTTGGAGTGTCCTCTAGTGCTGAGATGGCTGCAGTGATCACAGGCTCAGGGAACACAACAGTCAGTCAGGTTAGAATCCAGAAGACCCTCTGAAGGACAGGCACAAACAAAGCCAGAATGCAAAGACTAAAATAAATACCTAATTCCTAAATATGCAGACATTGTTGTACTTCTACAAGCATCAGAAACATTCAGGGAAATATGACCTCACAAATGAGTTAAACAAGATGCCAGAGACCAATGCTACAGTGATAGAGATGTGTGATCTCTCAGATAATTCAAAATAGCTGCTTTAAGGAGACTCAAATTCCAGAAAACAGAAAATCAATTCAGAAATGTATCAGAAAAATTTAATAGAGACATTGAAAAACTTTTAAAAACCAAACAAAAAATCCTGGAGCTGAAAAATACAATGAATGAAATGAAAAATGCAATATAGAGCATCAATAGCAGAATTAATCAGTGAGAGATTATTTTAATATACTCAGAGAAGAAAAGAGAAAAAGGAATACAAACAATGAACAAAGCTTACAGTATCTATGAGACAACATCAAAAATAAAATATTCACTATTGGAATTAAAGAGGGAACTTAGAAAGACAAAGGGGTAGAAAGCTTATTCAAAGTAGTAACAGAAAGCTTTCCAACCCTGGAGAAAGATACAAATACCCAAGCCAGGAAGAGCAAAGATCACCAATCAGATTCAACCCAAATAAGAATATCCCAAGACATATTACATTGAACTTGCAAAAATGAAAGACAAAGAGAGGATTCTAAAAGCAGCAAGAGAAAAGAGGCAAATAACATGTAAGGGAGATCCAGTACTCCTGGCATCAGACTTCTCAGCAGAAACTTTTCAGGCCAGGAGGGAGACGATAATATTGAGAGTGTTGTAGGAAAAAAATCACCAACCAAGAATACTGTATCAAGTAAAGTTCTTCAGAAATGGAGAGACAAAGACTGTCCCAGACAGACTTTATATTTATAGCAACCAGAACTGTCCCACAAAAAATGCTAAAGGAAATTCTTCAAACTGAAAGAAAAGGACTCTAATGTAATTATTATAGTAATATTGTAATTGTGATAATTAAACGACTTATATCTTTGGTCAGAAGACTAAAAGCCAAAACTATTAAAATAATAATGAAAATAACTTGTTAAGAGATAGGAAATAAAAAAGGGTAATTGGTAACATCAAAAATTGTAAATGTGGAGGAAGAAGGGAGTTAATCTGTTTGGGTTTTTTGTTTTTGTTTTTGCTTTTTTATGATCAAAATTAAGTTGGTATCAGTTTTAAATACCTGTTATAACTGTAGAATGTGTTTTGTAAGCTTAATGATAACTACAAAGCTAAAACCTATAACAGATAGACTAAAAATAAAAAGTAACAAATTAAAACATACTGCTAGAGAAAAATCACTTAACCACAAAGAAAGACAAAGAAAGGACGAGAGGAGTTACATACAACTAGTAAACAAGTAACAAAATGGCAGCAGTGAGGCCTTATCTATCAATAGTAACACTGAATGTAAATGGACTAAATTCTACAATTAAAAAAACAAAGAGTAGCTGCATGGATTAAAAAACAAGACCCAACAATATGCTGTCTACAAGAAACTCACTTCACCTGTAAAGATACACATAGACTGAAAGTGAAGGGATAGAAAGATGATATCCCATGCAATGGAAACCATAAAAGAACAGGAGTAACTATATAAGCTAAAATAGACTTTAAAAACTGTGAAAAGAGATAAATAAAGTTATTATATAATGATTGAGAGGTCAATTCAGCTAGAGGATATAACAAGAGTAAATATATATGCACCCAACACCAGAACACCCAAATATGCAAAGCAAGTATTAATAGAGCTAAAAGGAGAGATAAACTGTAGTGCACCAGTAAGAGGGGATTTCAACATCCTACTTTTGACAATGGAAAGATCATCCAGGTAGAAAATTAACAAAGAAACATCAGAGTGAAACTGTACACCAAATGGACCTAACAGACATTTACAGAATATTTCACCCAACTTCTACAGAATACACATTCTTCATCAGCACATGGAACATTCTCCAGGACAGACTATATGTTGGACCATGAAACAAGTCTCAACAAATACAAAAAAGTGGAAATTATATCAAGTATCTTTTCTGGCCACAATAAATGAAATGAAGAATGTTAAAAACTGTACAAATACATGGAAATTAAACAGCATGCTTCCAGACAACCAATTGGTCAGTGAAGAAACTAAGAAGGAAATTTAGAAATTTCTTGAAAAAAATAAAAATGGAAACAAAACATATAAGAATCTATAGGATACAGAAAAAGTAGTACTAATGTGGAATTTTATAGCAGTAAACATCCATATTTTAAAAAAGAGACTCAAAATAACCTAACTATGCACATCAAGCAGCTAAAAAACCAAATTTAGTAAAAGGAAAGAAATAATAAAGATCAAAGCAGAAATAAATGAAATGAGACTAAAAAAATTACAAAGGATCAACAAAACAAAAAGTTGGTTTCTTGAAAAGATAAACAAAATTGATAAACCTTTAGCTAGACTAAGATAAAAATAAAGAAGATCCAAACAAATAAAATCAGAGACAAAAAAGGAAACATTACAACTAATAATACCACAGAAATACAAAGAATCATTAGACTATCATGAACAACTATACACAAACAAACTGAAATATCTAGAAGAAATGGATAAACTCCTGAACACATACTCTACCATGATTGAACCATGAAGAAATAGAAAACCTAAACAGACCAATAACAAGTCATGAGATCAAAGCTACAATAAAAAGTCTCCCCTCAAAACTTGGGACCTGCCAGATTCACTTCTGAATTCTAGCAAACACTTAAGGAAGACCTAATACCAATTCTACTCAAATTATTTCAAATAAGTGAAGAGGAAAGAAACTCATTCTACCTGGCCAGCATTATCCTGATACCAAAACCAGACAAACACACTACCAAAAACAAAAAAGAAAAGAAAAAACCAACTGTGGGCCAGTATCCCTGATGAACATACATGTAAAAATCCTCCACAAAATACTAGCAAACAGAATTCAAAACATTAAAAAGATCTTTCACCATGATCAAGTGGATTCATCCCAGGGATGCAAGGATGGTTCAACATATGCAAATCAATAAACATGATACATCACATCAACAGAATGAAGGATAAAAACCATGTGATTATTTCAATGAATGTTGAAAAAACATTCAGTTAAATTCAGTGTCCCTTCTTGAAAAAAAATCCTCAACAAACTTGGTATAAAAAGAACATACCTCAGGCCAGGCACAGTGGCTCAGGCCTGTAATCCCAGCATTTTGGGAGGGTGAGACAGGTGGATCACTTGAAGTCAGGAGTTCAAGACCACCCTCGCCAATGTGGTGAAACCCTGTGATATGGTTTGGCTGTGTAACCCACCCAAATCTCAACTTGAATTGTATCTCCCAGAATTCCCACATGTTGTGAGAGAGACCCAGTAAGAGGTAACTACGTCATGGGGGCCGTCTTTCCTGTCCTATTCTGATGATAGTGAGTAAGTCTTGTGAGATCTCATGGGTTTATTAGGGGTTTCCGCTTTTGCTTTCTTCTTATTTTTCTCTTGCCACCACCACGTAAGAAGTGCTTTTCGCCTCCTGCCACGATTCTGAGGCCTCCCCAGCCATGTGGAACTGTAAGTCCAATTAAACCTCTGTTTGTTCCCAGTTTTGGGTATGTCTTTATCAGCAGCATGAAAATGAACTAATACAGTAAATTGGTACCAGTAGAGTAGGGCGTTGCTGAAAAGATACCTGAAAACGTGGAAGCAACTTTGGAACTGGGTAACAGGCAGAGGTTAGAACAGTTTGGAGAACTCAGAATAAGACAGGAAAATGTGGAAAAGTTTGAAGCCTCCTGGAAGCTTTGACAAAAATGCTGATAGTGATATGAACAATAAGGTGCAGGCAAAGGTTGTCTCAGATGGAGATGAGGAACTTGTTGGGAACTGGAGCAAAGGTGACTCTTGTTATGTTTTAGCAAAGAGACTGGTGGCATTTTGCCCCTGGTCCTAGAGATTTGTGGAAATTTTGAACTTGAGAGAGATGATTTAGGGTATCTGGTGGAAGAAATTTCTAAGCAGCAAAGCATTCAAAAATGTGACTTGGGTGCTGTTAAAAAGCATTCCATCTTAAAAGGGAAACAGAGCATAAAAGTTCAGAAAATTTGCAGCCTGATGATGTAGTAGAAAAGAAAAAACAATTTTTTGAGGAGAAATTCAAACTGGCTGCAGAAATTTGCATAAATAGCAAGGAGCCTCATATTAATCCCCAAGACCATGAGTAAAGTCTCTCTCCAGGCCATGTCAGAGACCTTCACAGCAGCCATTCCCATCACAGGTCTGGAGGCCCAGGAGGAAAAAGTGGTTTTGTGGGCTGGACCCAGGGGGGTACCCATGCTGGTGCCCTGTGTCCCAGCCACTCCAGCCGTGGCTGAAAGGGGCCAACAAAGAGCACAGGCTGTGGCTTCAGAGGGTTGAAAACCCAAGCCTTGGTAGCTTCTGCATGGTGTTGAGCTTGTGGGTACACAGAATGGAGGTTTGGGAACCTTGGCCTAGATTTCAGAAGATGAATGGAAATGGCTGGATGCCCAGGCAAAAGTTTGCTGCAGGAGTGGGGCCCTCATGGAGAACCTTTGCTAGGATGGTGTGGAAGGGAAATGTGGGGTCGGAGCCCCGACACAGAATCCCTACTAGGGCACTGCCTACTGGAGCTATGAGAAGAGGGCCACTGTACTCCAGACCTCAGAATGGTAGATCCACCAACAGCTTGCACCGTGCACCTGGAAAAGCTGCAGACACTCAATGTCAGCCCATGAAAGCAGCCAGGAGGGAGGTTGTACCCTGCAAATCCACAGGGGTGGAGCTGCCCAAGACCATGGAAACCCACCTGTTACATCAGTGTGACCTGGATGTGAGACCTGGAGTTAAAGGAGATCATTTTGAAGCTTTAAAATTTGACTGCCCCACTGCATTTTGGACTTGCATGGGACCTGTAATCCTTTGTTTTGGCCAGTTTCTCCCAATTGGAATGGCTGTATTTACCCAATACCTGTACCTACATTGTATCTAGGAAGTAACTACCTTGTTTTTGATTTTACAGGCTCACAGGCAGGAGGGACTAGCCTTGTTTTAGATGAGACTTCGGACTGTGGATTTTGGGTTGATGCTGAAATGAGTTAAGACTTTGGGGGACTGTTGGGAAGGCATGATTGGTTTTGAAATGTGAGGACATGAGATTTGGAGGAGCCAGAGGCAGAATGATGTGGTTTGGCTGTGTCCTCACTCAAATCTCAACTTGAATTGTATCTCTCAGAATTCTCATGTGTTGTGGGAGGGACCCAATGGGAGGTAACTGAATCATGGGGGCTGGTCTTTCCCATGCTATTCTTATGATAGTGAATAAGTCTCATGAGATCTGATGGGTTTATCAGGGGTTTCTGTTTTTGCTTCTTCCCCAGTTTTCTCTTGCTGCTGCCATGTAAGAAGTGCCTTTTGCCTCCTTCCATGATTCTGAGGCCTCCCCAGCCATGTGGAACTGTAAGTCCAATTAAATCTCTTTTTGTTGCCAGTTTTGGGTATGTCTTTATCAGCAGCGTGAAAATGAACTAATACAGTAAAAGAGAACCCTAATACAACTTGTCTCTACAAAAACAACACAAAAAAAAAGAGCAAGGGATGGTGGTGCACATCTGTAGTCCCAGATACTTGGGTGGCTGAGGCAGGAGAATTGCTTGAACCTGGGAGGTGGAGGTTGCAGTGAGCAGAGATCACACCACTGCACTCCCAGCCTGGGTAGCAGAGCAAGACTACATCTTAAAAAATAAAAGAGAGACAGAAAAAGAAGAAATAAAGAAAGAAAGAAGGAAAGAGAAAGAAAAAGAAAGGGAAAGAGAGAGAGAGGAAGGAAAGGAAAGACAGGAAGGAAAGGAAGGAAAGGAAATACCTCAGCGTGATAAGGGCTGCCGCATATAAGAATCCTACAGCTAATATTAAATGGGAAAAAGTGGAAAGCCTTTGCACTAAGAACTAGAATAAGACAAGGATGCCCACTTTCACTGCTTTTATTCAACACAGTACTAGCCAAAGCAATTAGTCAAGAGAAGGAAATAAAGGGCATGCAGATTGGAGAGGAAGAAGTTGAATTATCCTTGTTTTCAAACAACTTGATCTTCTATTTAGGAAAACCTAGAGTCCACCAAAAAAACCTATTAGAGGTGACAAATTCAGCAAAGTTGCAGGATATAAAATCAGCATACAAAAATCAGTAAAATTTCTGTATACCAGCAGCCAACAATCTGCAAAAGAAACCAATAAAGTAATCTTACACCATCTACAAATAAAATACCTAGGAATAAATTTAGGAGGTAGAAGACTTCGACAAGGAAAACTACAAAACATCCATTAAAGAAATTGAGGAGGATAAAAAGAAAGGGAAAGACATCCCATGCTCACTTTTCAGAAGAATTAATATTGTTAAAATGACAATACTACCCAAAGCAATATATAGATTTGATGCAATACCTATAAAAATACCAATGACAATTCTTCACAGAAATAGAAAAAAAATCCTAAAATTTATATGAAACCACAAAAGATCCCAAATATCCAAAGCAATCCTGAGCAAAAAGAACAAAACTGGAGGCATCACATTACCTGACAGGTTGGACACAGTGGCTCACTCCTGTATTCCCAGCACTTTTGGGAGGCCTAGGTGGGTGGATTGCTTCAAGCCAGGAGTTTGAGACCAGTCTGGCAAACATGGCTAAACCCTGTCTCTACTAAAAATACAAAAATTAGCTGGGCATGGTGGTGGGCCCCTGTAATCCCAGCTACTCGGGAGGCTGAGGCAGGAGAATCACTTGAACCCGGGAGGCGGAGGTTGCAGTGAGTTGAGATTGCATCACTGCACTCTAGCCTGGGCAGCAGAGAGTGACCCTGTCTCAAAACACAAACAAACAGACAAACAAACAAATTATACTACAGAGCTATAGTGGCCAAAAAAGCATGGTGCTGGTATAAAAACAGACACATGTAGACCAACGAAACAGAATGAAGAACTCAGAAATAAGTCTGTGTACTTAAAGCCAACTCATTTTCAACAAAGGAACCAAGAACACATATTGGGGTGAAAAAGTCTCCTTAATAAATGGTGCTGGGAAAACTGTGTATCTGTATGCAGAAAAATAAAATGAGATCTCCATCTTTCATCATACACAAGTATCAACCAAAAATGAATTCAAGACTTCAGTGTAAGACCTAAAACTGAATCTGCTAGAAGAAAACACTGAAGAAATGCTACAGGACATTGGTTGGGGCACATATTTTTTGGGGTAGGACCTCAAAAGCATAGGAAGTCAAAGCAAAAATAGAAAAATAGAAAAATGGGATTACGTCAAGCTAAGAAGCTTCTAGACAGCAAAGGAAGCAATAAAGTGTAGAGACAGCCTTCAGAATGGAAGAACATATCTGCAAACTGTTCATCTAACAATGAATTAATAAATAGAACATGTAAGAAACGTTAACAATTCAATAGCAAAATAACAAATAATCTGATTTTTTTAATGTTCAAAAGACCTGGGTAAACATTTCTCGAAAGAAGACATACAAATGGCCACAGGTAGATTAGAAATGCTCAACATCACTAATCATCAGAGAAATGCAAATCAAAACCACAATGAGATATCAACTCACTTCAGTTAGAATATCTATTATCAAAAAGAGAAAAAAATAACAAATGCTGGCAAGGATGCAAAGAGGAACCCTATTATAGTGTTGGTGGGAATGTAAGGTACAATAACCACTACGAAAACAGTATGGAGACTTCTCAAAAAACTGAAAACTACCATATGATCCAGCAGTCTCACTGCTGGGTATATATCCAAAAGAAGTCAATATATCGAAGAGGTATCTGTACTCCAATGTTTACTGTAGAACTATTCACAATAGCCAAGATTATGGAATCAACCTGTGTCTGTCAATAGATGAATGGATAAAGAAAATGTGGTATATATTCACAATGAAATATTATTCCCCCACAAACATAATGAAATCCTGTCATTTGTAGCAACATGGATGGAACTACGTGTTATTGGGCACCAGTGTCACATATTTGCATTTATGTGTGTGAGTTTAAAAAGTGGATCTCCTGGAAGTGGACAGTAGAATGGTGTTTATCAGAGGAGAGGCAGGGAGCGGGGGCAGGAGGAATGAAGAGAAGTTGGTTAACGGGTACAAAAATAAAATTAGAAGGAAGAAGTTCTAGTATTCAACAGTACAGTAAGAAAATTATAGTTAACAATAATTTATTGTATCAAAATAGCTAGAAGAACTATAATGTTCCCAACACAAAAAGGTAAGTGTTTAAGATGACAGATATCCCAATTAACCTGATTTGATCATTACATATTGTACACACGTCAAAATATCACACATACCCCAAAAATATGTACAACTATGATACATCAATTAAAAATACAAAAAAAGGAGGGGGCAGGCACAGTGGCTCATGCCTGTAGTCCCAGCACTTTGGAAGGCCAAGGCAGGAGAATTGCTTGAGCCCAGGAGTTGAGACCAGCCTGGGCAACATAGTAAGACTCCATCTCTCCAAGTTTTTAAAAAATAATTCTCCAGGTGTGGTGGTATATACTTGTAGTCCCAACTACTTGGGAAACTGAGGTGGGAGGATCATTTGAGGCTGGGAGGTCAAGGCTACAGTGAGCTGTGATTGCACTGCTGCACTCCAATTTGGGCACCAGAACAAGGCTCTGTCTCTAACAAAAATCACACAAAAAAGAGAAGACATAACTTACTGCCAAAGTGAGAAAGACACTGGGATAAATTCAGATTGAGACCTATAGTTCCTATTTCAGGCAACACTTGAAGACAGAAGGGGCCTATCATAACATGGAGTTGGGAGTTGTATGGTTTTTTCCTCTGGCTAACCTAAGCATTGGCTTAGAGGTTTTCAGAGTAGGGGAAGACAGAGAATACTTCTCTGAAAGACTCCCTTCATTTTCCTCCTACAGAGAGGGTTTCCTTCAGGTTCACATTTGTTATGTCGTTGGCTCTGACCATGGTGCTGAATCCTCTAAACTTGAAAACTGAACTCCTACAAAGGTAATAGATCAAACTCCTAGTTGTGAAATGTGCTAGAAGTGATATGGGGAAGTACAGCACCCCTCCTCTCTTCTGTACTTCTACCAACCTTATCTGCTCCCTTGAGCTCCTTTTGAGGTATAAAATGTAGGGGAAATTTCTGGCTAAAACATATAGATTCGGATGCTCCCGGTTCCTGAACGCCATCTACATATGAGTAGTTCTTTGAATTGTCAGAAAACAACCTGGCCCCAAAGTAAACTCAAGGCAGGCCAAGCACAATATTTTTCCCATTTATGGGGAATGATAAGAGGTATGTCACTGTTCCTAAGATAACCACAAGGGCTTCTGCTCAGTGTGGGTGTTCCTGACTTCACTGGAGTCAGCAGCAGTGGGCTGCTTCGTTGCTGACATTCAGCAAATGTGTGTTTATATAAAGCTCTGTCATAGGTTAATCCTCCAGAATCCCACAGAGTCTGCAGGGAATAGTACTTTCCATGCCAATTTGATTCAACACAGAGAGTACCTATATTATACTAGGCATATGCTGGCAATATGGACCCTGAATCAAGAAGTTTATAGTCTACTTGGTGAGAAAAATATGCATATGAGTGATGCAAAGCAGAATGCACTATGTGTGTTACCAGAGATCCCATGTGTTAGACTGATAGTGACAGGACAGTGGTCTGTTCTGATCTGGAACCTGACCAGAGGCAGTCCTCAGAGTACTGAGCTGTGAACTCGACCTTCCCCTCACCTTCCATTTCAAGCTAGGGGCAGACATATCTGAGTTGGTGGAGTCTGGTCAACTACAAACCTGTTTTTAGAGATGAATTCTGTGCTATGAGGCTCTGGTCATCAATCATGGAACTCCTGCTTTCTGGGAGCTTGTGTGGATTGTTTATTCTTCCAAGGACTGCTAACCAGTGAGAAGATAAGACAGGCTGGGGCAGAAAGTGTTTAATCTGCTCCACGGACACACACTGCAGCTCCATCCCACCAGCATCTGCAAACACAAGGCAGAGAGATTAGTGTGTGGACGCGGCACAAACAAAGGGATGCACGGGGATTGGTTTAGGAGGGAGACGCCACAGGATGAGACTTTCCTCTAGGGGACCTGGGAGAGGGTCGAGCAACAGGAACAGAGGGTCTTGCCTCTCATTCAACATCAAGAGTCCTGTATCCCTCCTGGGATCCCTGTCTCAGAACTTAAGGACTTCAGAGAGAAGGTGTGGTATGTTGAGCTAGACATCAACTTTGTCTAGAACAGCGTGGGTTTTTAGTAGCATGGAAGGGTGGCACTTGCAATCAGTTTAGCTGCTTAAGCCCATATCCTGAGCTGAGAAAAGCCCGAGGAGCGGAGTTCTGGGCACAGTACAGGAAACCTCCCCCCACCCCTCAGTGCCTAGA